ACGCTGTTAGCCTCCCCCGACTCCCCCACGGCAGGCTCTGACACGGGAACTGCTGATCCCAGGAGTTTGGTCAGGAAGCTGCCCGTGGACTCATTTTCGGAGGGCTGGAGGAGCCTCCGAGGAAACGCTGACGCTGCAAGCCGTCTGCAGCCTCTCCTCTGGAAGGCGGCCGGATGAGCCGGGAAGGGCCGGATGGCGCCCATGAAGACGCCTCCCCCTCCTGCTGCCTCTTTGCGGACTCCCCTACAGGACTAGCCGTCCCCACCCCCACCCCAGGTGGCTCCAGCATGCCTGGGGCACCCCAAGGGATGCTGCCTTCCGTGGGGCAGAGAGAAGCTCTGCTTGGGGGACACTTCCACACTGGATTGTCTGGAGGCGCCCCTCCTCTTCCTGGGGGGGGGGAGTACCTGCAGAGCAGAGCATCCGGACACAGGGGGCCAGCTGGTCCTCCAGCCAGGTGGAACCAGAGCATGGATTCTAGGGAAATTCTCCGGGAGGGGGCCAAGGGTGGACAAGGTGGGCAGAAGGGAAATGGCTTTCTTAGGGAGGGGCTCTGGCACGCCACTCAGCAGAGCCCCCAGGAAAAGGGTGCGTGGCGGTGGGAGATCCAGAATGCTCCAAAGGAAGTTGCGTTCCCACAGGATGCAGCTCCCCCAGGGATTCAGCAGGATCCTCACTTGCAAAGGGTCCAGAAACAGGCCTTACTAAGGGTTTATAAAGAGGTACTAATACTTCAGTGATTTTGGTTCTATGCCTCTGTATGTGCAACCCAGGATTGTATTAGCTTTTTTTGGCTGCTGCTGCACACGGCTGGCTCACGGTCAAGGGATCGTCCACTAGGACTCCAAGGTCCCTCTCACAGTTGCTGTTTCTGAGCCAGGTTTCGCCTAATCTGTACTCGTACATACTCTTGGTTTTTCTTGCCTAGTTAAAAACCTTGCTTTTCACCACAATTTCATGTTGTTGGATAGGGGCCATTGTTCAAGTCCGTCAAGATCTTTTTGGATCCTGAGCTTGTCTTCTGGGGTGTTGGCTATTCCTTAGTATCATCTGCAAATTTGATGAGTTCCCCTTCTGTTCCCTCACCTACAGTAAGTCACTGATGAAGATACTGAAGAGCACCGGGTCTAAGACCGGACACTGTGGCACCCACTGCTTACTTCCCTCCACGTACACGTAGTACCACTAAGAATGACTCCTTGCATAGGTTTGTCAGCCAGTTACAAATCCATCTGGTGGTGATGTTGTCTATCCTACATTCCTGTATTGCCTTTCTATAATGCTATCCTTGGTTAGTATTAACTTTGGATAACAGCATGTGTGAACCAAGCCCTCTGGCTCAGCCACTGCAGGATGCAAACCCAGAACATTGGTCGTTTCGTTGTCCAGGTGATGCCTGTTGCTCCCGGCTTCCTTGTCCTCTCCTGTGAATGCTGGAAAGGCCCAAAGGGTTAAAACTGCAAGGCAGGGGGGCCAGAAGAACAACCTCCGCTGCTGGAGCTGCAGCCAGGGGAAGAGGAAGCAGCTGCAGCTGCGTGAAAGGTTGACATCTTCACAGAGCAGAGCATCAGAGTATAGAACTAGATGATCTCTAAGGAGACCTATTGCTTTAGCAGGAACTAAGTTGGCAGGCAGACAGACTCTCCCCACCTGGGCTGCCTACATTCCCCCCGACCCTGGTGCACAGCGTGAGTCATCGCTGCAGCTTCCCTTCCTTCCTTACTGCCGGCCGTGTGAATCCAAGTCCCAGGTCAGCACTTCAAGAGACCCCCCAGAGGGAGGGAGGCTGGCTCTCGGGCGGGTCTCTTTCCCTGCTCCTCCCGCTCCTTGTTCGGTTGCAGCAACCTGTGACGCTTCGCCTCGCTGGTGCTTTAAATACAGGGCGGAGGAAGGCGGAGGATGGCAGCGGAGCCAAAGCGCGGCAACCCTCGGCACGGCGCCGCCGCCTTTCCTCGCTCTTTCCTCGGTAAGTGCCTCCCGGTGCCTCTGCGGCGAAGGCGGCCTCTTCCCAGGGCTGGCGGCGGGACGTGGCGGGACGTGGGGGGTTCTTCCTTTCGCCTTTCCCTTCCCTTCGCCGCTCCCGGGGAACCGAACCGTGAGACTGCAAGCCAGACGCCAAACGGAGAACGCGGCTCAAACAAAGACAACAAAAGTGATCGGAGCCCCCCCCCCGAATTGGGGAGTGGGCGAGGGAGGGAGGGAGGGAGGGAGGGAGATGCTAAATTCCTTCTGTAAACGAGCTCTCCCCCAAGCGCTCCTCGGAGCGACGCCTTTCCGAAGCGCTTTTGAAGTGCCGGGGGGGGGGGGGTCGTGGACGCCGCGCAGGCGCTGCGCCGGAGAAGAGCTCGTCCCGCGCCGCGAACTGCTTCCATATGGCCGGGGCGAGGCTGCGGCGTGGCCAGATTCCTTCCTCGGGGAGCCGGCGGGGGGCTGATCTGGTCCAGCTGCCGCCGCAGGCAAAAAGTTCTGCCTTGGAGGATGCGCGCACGTCCGGAGCCCGCGGGGCGGGATCGGGATCCCTCCCAGAAGGATGCTCTCGAGAGCGCGGCCGCGGGTGGGTGGGTGGGCGGGTGGGCGGCCTGGAAACGCCCCTCCCTCGGAGCTCTCCGGGAGAGGAGGGGCGTGCGGGGCGCCCTGGCCGAGAGCACAAGCAGCCGCCAGCGGTTTCAGCGCCCCGGGGAGCTGAGCGCCTCCCGTCCCTCGGCCGACCTCCGCTTCCCAGGGAGCAGTTCCCAGGTGGGGAAGCTTCTCCCCGCCCCTCGATTCCGCACACACGCACACACGCACACGCACACACAGCGGGAGGTGGGCTTGCGGGGTTGATTGGGGTCCAACGCTCGGCTCAGGGAAAGGACTCTGCATATTTAGAGACACGCGCTGTCTGTGTTCGCACAACACACTCCCCGATCTCATGCAGACTTCGCAACTGGGATTCGCACAACGGCAACCTTGGTGGCTCTTCCCCCTCGGATTAGGGGTCTGCTGTGTGAAACTTAGTTTGGATCGATTCGCGCTCAAGACGTTTGCGTACCCGGAGAGCGAGCGAATTCGGGAACCTGATAAAGCGGGTCTTGCGAATGCAGCCACAGGACAGCGATCCTGGAGCGTCGCGGGCGAACGCGACGGAGCGGCTGGGCGGGTCCAGGCGGGGTGACCTGCCTCTCCCTCCCTGCCGGGCCGACCGGACATCGCGAGCCGAGCGTCTGCACCACACGCCGCCCCGGGGGCTCTGCTGCTCTTGCGGGCTGGCTCTGCGCTCAGCAGTTCCCATGACTCACCGGTGGCGAATGCGCTCCCGGCGGCGGCGGCGGTGTGTGTGTGCGGGGGGGGGGGCTGCTCCGATGCCTCCCCCGTCCGCTTGCCCCCCTCCTCGGTCTAGAGGCTAGTCCAAGTTCGGCCTGATGGGGTGTAATTATGGTGGCCGCAAAGGCCTCGCTCAGAGTTTCCAGGCGGAGGGGACTGTTGGCGGGCGGGGAAGGAGGGCGCGGCCCCCGGCGAGGGAAAGACCTCTGAGAGGTGGTCTTCTGTCTCCGTCGCCCCCTCCCCTGCTCTGCGCTCCGGGACGAGGCAGCCGGCCACTCTCGGCAGCAACCGCCAGGGTCCCGCAGCGGGCCCTCCATCCCGCTTCTCCCGCCAGAGCCGCGCAACGCAGGGCGAAGAGAGCTGCTGTCCGAGAAGTTTCGGCCAAGCAGCCTTAAGGGGGCCGCAGAGATGGACCGTCTCCCAGAGAGAAAAGGGCCCCCCTCCTTTGCCCAAAATTCAGGAGCCCCTCCCTTCAGCAGGGCTGGTCTAGATCTGGTCCAAGCAGGAGACCCCATCCCATTTCAGATAGACAGCTGTTCAGACTTTTCTTAAACACCTTCAGTGATGAAGCACCTACAACTTCTGGAGGCAGGTTGTTCCCCTGTTTCTTCTTTTCTTTAGATTAGCCAAACCCAACTCCTGCAACCGTTCTTCATATGTTTTAGTCTCCAGGCCTTTACACATCTTAGTCACTCTTCTTTGCACTTTTTCCAAAGTCTCAACATCTTTTTTTGTATTTTTCTATGACGTCCCTGATGGATACCCATCCAGCTTCTCTTCTCTGTTGCCAAATATGCCCCCCTTCCCCCCAGACACATGGCTTTTTCCCCAGCATAGTCTCTAGGACTTCACAGGGGTCTTTGCTGAAATCCTCTTACTGATTTCTGCTGTGGTTCCAGCTTGTCTGATTCCGTCTGAATCTTGAATCCGGCCTCTAAAGCCTTTGCTGCCCCCTCCTCTTCATGCTGGCTGCAGATCAGACGGCCTGACTTTCGAAGAGCCCCCGTTCGGCTGGGAAGATGAAGGTCTCCCCTGGCCAGGCGTATCTGACTCTAGGGGGCGCTGCTCATCTCCGTGTCTCGGCCGAGGGAGCCAGCGTGGTCCCGGAAGACATTCCCAGCAGGATTACATGCCGAGGCGCGCGGAGCTCCGTTACCTTCCTGTGGGATTCGTTGTCTAGTAGTTGAAATAAACGACCAGCAACCAAAACTTCCAAGAGAAAATGGTAATTTGTTTGTACTACTTTGCAAAGAGGGTGCTCCTTAGGCACAGTGGACACACCCTAAATCGTCACTGTTCTCTCTTTATGTTCCCTATTGCCCTTAGGAATTTACCTCCCACATTGTGTTCAGTACTGTCCTCACAACCTATCCGAAGCTCCTAAAGTGAATACATTATGTCTGCCCCTGATTATTTCTCCCACTAGTCTAATTCTAACGTCCCCTGCCCTTATTTACAAATTACCTTTTGTGGCTGTTAGTTCCTAGGGGTTGTCTCTAGGGTATCATATCAGCAAATTCTGGTTAGGAGGGGTTTTCAGCGTAGCAGAGACCTTCCTAGATACAATTCTCAAGCTTCAGCTAGGCTCATGAGATTAAAAATAAATAAATAAATAAAGGTATTTCTTCACAGGCTAGCATGTCTCCTTACAGTTCGGTAAAAAACAATAGATCTTTCTATCTTTCTCCGCAGGCAACATGGCCCTCCGCGCCGCCCTGCTCCTCAGCTTCCTGCCGTCGGTCTTGGCGGGCGGCGGCTGCCCCCGCGAGTGCTCCTGCTCCCGGACGGCCCAGGTGGAGTGCTCGGGCGCCGAGGTCACGGAGATGCCCGCGCCGCTGCCCGGCCACGCCATGAGCCTGCAGGTGGTCAACACGCGCCTGGCCGCTCTGGGCCCCGCGGCCTTCGGCAACGCCTCGCAGCTGCTCGCCCTGCGGATGGAGAAGAACCTGCTGGAGCGGCTCAGTCCGCGCGTCTTCCGGCCCCTGGCGGCGCTGCGCTACCTCAGCCTGGCCAGCAACCGGCTGCAGGAGCTGCCGCCCGACGTCTTCCGGCCGCTGGCCCGGCTCGAGGCGCTGCTGCTGTCGGGGAACCAGCTGCGCCGCATCCAGCCGGCCCACTTCGCCGGGCTGGGCGCCCTCAAGGAGCTGCAGCTGCACGGCAACCGCCTGCAGGCCGTGCCCCCGGGCGCCTTCGACCAGCTGCCCAACCTGGCCCGCCTCAACCTGGCCCGCAACCAGCTGGTGCGCCTGCCGCCCCGCCTCTTCACGCCGCTGGCGCGCCTGCAGGTGCTGCGCCTCTACGAGAACCAGCTGGCCGAGCTGGCGCCGCGCGCCTTCGACGGGCTGGGCGAGCTGCAGGAACTGGCCCTCTACCAGAACCGGCTCCGCCAGCTCCCCGCCGGCCTCTTCGCCGGCCCGCGCAGGCTGCAGAAGCTGCTGCTGTCCGGCAACCTCCTGGAGGCGCTGCCCGAGGGGCTCCTGTTGGGCCTGCCCGAGCTCTCGCGGCTCTCGCTCTTCGGAAACGCCCTGCGCCAGCTGCGCCCCGGCACCTTCGGCCCGATGCCCCAACTGCGGGAGCTCCGGCTGGCCGACAACCAGCTGGCCTCGCTGCCCGGCCGCGCCCTGGCCAACCTCACCGCGCTGCAGGTGCTGGTCCTGAGCAGGAACCGACTCGGCTCGCTGGCGCCCACCGCCTTCGCCGGCCTGGAGGGCCTCGAGGAGCTCGCCCTGCACTCCAACCGGCTGGCCACGCTGGACGGGGAGCTCTTGCGCGGCCTGGGCTCGCTGCGCAACCTCTCCGTGCACAGCAACCGGCTGGCCGCCTTGCCCGCGCACCTCTTCCAGGGGACCCCCGGCCTGCGTGCCCTTCAGCTGCAGAACAACTCGCTGGAGGAGCTTCCCGCAGGCATCTTCGACGGGCTGCTGGAGCTGCGCGACCTCCAACTGCACGACAACCCCTGGCGCTGCGACCCCGCCCTGCGGTCGCTCCGGCGCTGGCTGCGGGAGAGCAGGGCCACCCTCGGCAGAGAAAGCCGCCATCCCCGCTGCGCCGCGCCGCCTGGGCAGTTGGGCCGGTCCCTGCTGGAACCGGAGACCACCACCACCGGTCCCGGGACCTCCGCACTGCCGGAGGGCTGGGGAACCGTCTGGAGCCGCAAGGAGGCCCCTTCGGAGCATCAGCCGACGTCGGAGACGCTGTCGCCCGGACGCTGGCAGCCGCCGCTGGATAGCGAGTCGGGCAGCGCAGAGATCGCGCGGGAGTTCCCGGAGGAGCTCCCCGAAGCGGGCCGAGGGGGAGGCGGGATTTGGGGCCTGACTCGCACGCAGACGGGGGTCGTGGTCACCTGCCTCGTGGTGGCCTCCGCCTTGCTCCTAGGGATGGTGCTGGCGGTGGGCCTCTACGGCTCCAGGCGGAAGCGCTCCGTCCGGGCTAAAGCCTAAGTCCGCCACGGGGCTCTCCCTCCAGCACTCGCCGGTCCCCGCTCCACCCCGCCGGCCCCGGCACGGGCTCAGCAGCGACCCGGCACGCGCCTCAGCTCTAGCGCGCCCGGCCGACTTTTGTCCCGCGCAACTGAGCCCAGACGGACGCTCACGCTCCTTCGCTCGGCGCTTCTTTGGGACAGGTTGCGCACCTTCGGCCGAGGGACGCCCAGGAGCGCCTTCGCAGCAGGACGGCTAGCAAGGCCGGGCGCTGCCTGGTCCCCACACTGGGAAGTCGGGGGCAGCTCCAGGCACTTGGGAAGAGGCGCCAACCAGGGCCCGCACTTTCTTCACGCGGGGCGCAAGTCCCGGGCTGTCCGAAGGGGCAGGACCCCCATGCAAAGCCCTCCCGTCTCCAAAAAGGCGCTTGACTCCGGGACCGTCGATCCCAGGCGGTGGGGGCTTACGCGGCTCACCTCCGACCAAAGGCCGGGGCTTCCGGGGCGGGTTGGGGTGCCCGGGGGTGGCGCGGTTCTCATGGTTCCCTAAGAGGCGCCCAGAAGGTCGGCAGATTCGATCTAGGGAGGAAGCCCCGTGGCCGGGGAAGGCGCGCGCTGGCCTGGGAATTAGGGTCCCGCCCTGCTCGGGAAAGGCCCGAGGGGCTCCCGCTGCCCTCTCGGGCGAGGCTGGCGCTCCAGGCGCACCTGGCATCCACCGGACGAGCCGACAACGCCCAAGCGATTGGATCTTGCGGAAGGCGAGGCGCCCGTTTCACTAGAGCCGCCTGGTTCTGCGGGAGCCGAGGAGGGGAAGGACCGCGGGCGCTGCTGGGGCGACGAAGGCCGGGACGGGGGGGGGGGCCGGGGAGTTTCCCGAGGGGGGGTTGGTGACGCCGGAATGGGGTTTGCATCTCCCGGGAGCGCAGAATCGAGCAGAGACGGGACAGCTTCCGCCGGAGAGCGAGCCCGGAGACGCAGGGACAGGCCGAGCGCGTCTTCTCCGGCGCCCCAGGCTGGCAGCTCCGCCGGCGAAAAGCAAGGACGGCAGCGCCTTCGCGGCAGAGGAGACGGTTCGAGGGGGGGGGGCAGCTCTGGGAGGGAGCAGGCGAGCCTCGTGAACGCGGCTGTGGAGGAGAGCCCGCGCCTATTAAAGCTGCTGTTCTCGCTTCATCTCACGCCCCCCGGCCTTTTCTGCATTGCCCTCCCTGGCCTGGCCCCGGGTGGGGGTGGGGGGAGGGGGACAGGGGGGTGCAGAACTCGCCCAAGGCAACGAGAAGAAGCAGGGAGGTCTGGCTCAGCACAATATCCGCCTGGGCTGCGGGAAGGGGAGTGTGTGAGATAGCAAGCACCCCCGCTTTCTCCCCCCCCCCGGGGGCAGTTTGTATGTCGTTCTCTAGCGCATGTTTAGTGTCAGGAGAAGCACTTATGCCCCCCCCCCCAAGGCTGACACACTGAGTTGCCAAGCCAGGCTGGGAGTTCAGCCTCAAAGCTCTTTTTGTGTACACCCCCGCCGCCCCCCGCCCAATCTGAATCTCAGCTGCTTCTTCACCAGGTTCACACGTCATACAAGCTCGCTCAAGCAAGTAGTACCCAGCGGCTGCGGTTTCCCCTGGGAAATAGAGCGGCGGCGCCCCCTCCTGAAGGCTCCCAGCTAGGCTAGCGCTGCCCATCCAGAGCGGCCACTGGGCAGAGCGGGGGAGGGCGGGGCCTCTGCTGCGGGAGAATCCCTGGGAGAGTCCACTCGCCCTCCCGCCCCGATAGCTCTGCGCCTGTCCTCCATCCGTGAGGCTGGGGGGGGGCGACAGCAGTCCCAGAGAGGGGCGAACCCCCCTGCAGGGCCAGCCGGCCGGCCGGCCAGCCAGAGTTCCAAACCCTTAAAGAATCGTGTGTATGTGTGTGTGTGTTCATGTGTTGCCCCCGCAGGACTGGGATGAGCATTGGAACAACCCACAGACCCCAGGAGATAAAGACGGGAGTTGAAGGGGGAGGGGAGGAGGGAGGGCCAAAGGATGGTTCAGGAGAATTTCCTGAACCATCCCCCCCCTTTTTGCCAGTCTTCCAGCAAGAAGCAAAACATGAAAGCAACTACACCCACCAAAAGACACCCCAATTCCCATTCTCATTTCCGGCCCTGGGTTGCGTTTAGCAAAGTAAGAGAAGGGGAAACCCCACCCCACTCCCAAGACCAGTGGGGGGATTCCGGTGTGCCCGGGGATGGTGGGATGCGTAGCCCCCCTGAGGCCCCCGTGGATCAGGGGAAGGCAGCCAGGGGGTTGCAGCCCAGGCATGGGGGTCACAGGTGGGGGGGGAGGTGGCCGAAGACCAGTCCTCCTCCCTCCCATAGGAGCGAGGGCAATCCTTGGTGGATGTTAACAGAGTTGGGCAGGCATAATGGCATTCACACAACATATTTAACCTGACTCCATTTCATTGGAAAAAAAATCAAGCAAACGAATGCAGGAGGGGCTCCCAGGATGTGAAAAGCTGCAGGAAAAACCTGTGCCAGATCCAGCTATCAGGGCAGGTGCCTGCTCGTTGTGACATGACCTGTTGTATGAACACAGCCAGCGAGAGCTCCCCCCTCAAGAACCAGGCCAGGCAGTGGGTTGACTCTCAGCAGAGGAAGCCTGCCTGGGCTCGGGGCCAGCCCCCTGCCCCCCTGGGGCGCCCAAGCACTCTGGGACCTGAGGATCCGGGAAGGCCACTGCTTGAGCTCTGTGGGGCTTCTTTCCAGGGGGGGCTGCCCAAAGGCCATGCAGCTGCCCCCAAAGTGCTTAGCGCCTCTCCCCCTCCCACCCTGGGCCTCCCTCCCTCCCCCAAGGGGAGGCACCCTTGCTGCTGCAGCTGTTGACTGAGAGGCCAGTGCCTGCCCTGCTCCCCTCCTGAGGCTGCCAGCCTTTGCCCCCATCTCTGGAAAGCAAAGTCCTGCAGCTGCCTCTGCCCACTGGGTCACTGACTCGGCCACCCTGCGGACCGAGCGCTGCTCGTGGAGGTCAGGGACACAGGGGGGGGCTTCCTTAAGCACCTGGTCGCACAGAAGGTAAGTGAGCAGCTGGGGAGCAGGGCCTGGGCAGGGCAAGGGGCCTGGGCTGTGCATTGGGGGGGGTCTTCTCCTCCCATCTGCCATGCTAGTACTTCTGTCCCCCACTACTGAGAATTGTATATAATTTCCAGAATTCTGAGATAGGAAAATTCAGGAAAGCCCTCCAAAGTGCAGCATTAGGAAAGCAGAAAGAAAATGAACCCCCCACACAAACACACAACCTGGGAAAACATCCCAGGTGGTCTCCTGTGTGCCCTTCAGCCACACTCCTTGTGCCTCGCTGCCTCGCTGGGGGGTGGGGCTGCTGCCCCTTGTCTGGCATTGAGTGTGACTTCCAGTCACCCGTCATTTCCCCCCCCCTTCCCAAAGACTCTGTAGGGGATCCGGACCCAACCCACATCTGTTTCCAGGGAAAATCCACCCTGGGCCAGGAATGCCTGTCTGGATATTGGGAGGGGTGGGGGTGGGGGGGCCTCCGTGGCTTCCTCTCTGCTCTCCGTAGTGAGGAAGGGCTGCAGAGAGGAGCTTGGGTCTGAGGACCAGCCAAAGGAGAAAGGACCCCATTACTTTGGGGCCATCCTGAACCCCTGGAAGTCTGTGACAAGGCAAGGTTAGGGTCAAGGGCTTAATGAATGAATCGGTTTCATTATGTGCCTAAATAAATAAACACAAGGGAATTGGAGGGGACTTTAAAGGCCACATAGACCAGCTGCCAGCTCTGTGCAGGATCCACTGGTGCAGCTATGACAGGGGCTCTCCAGCCCCTGAGGCCCTCCAGCAGACAGCCCAGTCCTGAGGCAGCCTGTTCCACTGGCTCCTGGCCGGAAGAGTTGGGCAAGGCCTCTGAGGTCCCTTCTGGGCACTTTGATCCGCTAGTTCTGGCTCTGCCCTCTGCAGCCACGGGGAGTCCATCCATCCCCTTCAGGCGGGGTGTGTGTGTGTCGCATCTCCCCCCCACCTGCCTTGCGTGGGCTGAGCATTCCCGGATCCATGCAGAGCTTGGCCTGTGGTTCTCTCCTCATCTTGGTAGACTTCCTCTAAACTGGCACCGGTTGGCTGCTGCCCTTTGCCCAGGCTGTGGTGCCCAGAACTGAACCCGCAGGGCCTGGCCAGGGCAGAGGGGAAGGGCGGCTCCTCACGCATTGGCTTCCCAACAGGCTCAGTTTGCTCCAGCTGCTCTTTCAGTTTGGGAGGTCTGGGCAGAGGGGGGGCGGCAGCGGGGGGGGGAACGGGAGATGCCCATAGCCAGTTGCCCCATTCCAGCCTTCGGTACCCTCAGTTAAGTTCCATTGTTTGCCCCCTGTCTTTGGAAGATGGGAGAGAAGGGACCTCCTTGCCCTCCTCCCTCTGGGGGGGTGCCTCCTTGGGGGGGGCTGCATCCCCTGCCAGCATTCTCAGTGGGCCCAGCCCCATTGCTCTCTTCTGCTGAGCCTCAGGGCACTTCCGGCCGATTACCTGGATTCCCTCTGCAGGGAGCCTTGTCTAGAGGTCCCTCCAGCTGTGTGGGGGTGTGTGTGGGGGGAAATGGACAGGCAGCCCCTGGCCAGCGTCCTCTTTGATAAGCAGTTGAACGCTCACCCCTCCCTAGGAAGAAGCAGCAGCGGGGTGTGTGTGTCAGGGTGAGAGTCGGGTTCCTGCTTGGTCCCCAGTGGCCGCAATTCTAGGATGATTTGACCCTTGACCAGTGCAGCTGCCCACCGCAGCATAGGACCAACCCCCCCCCCCACACACACACACGGTGCCCCTGGGCTCTCCTGCTTAATGTCCCCATGAAACTGCTGGGAGAGGTTGGGGGGTCAGTTGGGGGTTCAGCAGCTGATGCTCCCCGCCTTGGTCAGGGCCAGTGAGGTGGTTGAGATCCTGTTGGGGGTCCAGAGACTGGGGGGGATAGGAAATACTTGGCCGGTTCCACTGTGTCTCTTATTGAGGAAGCATGACCCACAACTTTGGGAGGGGGAGATATTTTCCCCTGGAGTGGCAATTCCTGCTGGAATCACACCTGGCTGCTGGGGCTGGTGCAGCAGAGGGGGGGGGTCCCTACCTACCTGGACCTGCCCACATCACCTCATGCCTTTCTCAACGCTCACAATATTTTTTAATCCTGTCATTTTTGTATATAATTGAAAGTGGAGAACAAGCCTAATCCTCCCACCTTCAATTTTTTTCTAAAACAACCCTGTGAGGTGGGTTGGGCAGAGAGAGGGACTAGCCCCCAGTGAGCCAGTTGGCGTCCATGCCAAGGGGAGACCTAGAACTCACAGTCTCCCGGTTTCTAGGCACCCAACATGCTCCGGGTGTCTGCCTCTAGAGCAGGGGTCTTCAAACGTGGCCCTTTTATGACTTGTGGACTTCAACTCCCAGAATTCCTCAGCCAGCATGGGGGGAACTATGGCCCCTTCATGACTCATGGACCAACTCCCAGAATTCCTCAGCCACCATGCCTGGCTGAGGAATGCTGGGCGTTGAAGTCCACAAGTGATAAAAGGGCCACGTTTGAAGACCCCTGCTCTAGAGACCCCTTGGGAAAGCAATGGGCAAGGCCTTAGCCAGCAGTTGTGGCTGGGGGTGCGTGACTCCCCCCCGGGGGGCCCAGAGCCTTCCGGGCGCAGTGCTGAGACTCAACAGCTTCCTGGTCTGCCCACGTTGGCCCAACCTCTCCCGGCAGGAAGCACAGCTGGGGGCTCCCCATTTGGGGGAGGGAGGGTGGGCTGAGGCACTTTCCGCTTTCCTGGAACGGAGCCAGTCCCTGCAAGGCCCCCTCCCCGGTTTTATCCGAGACGCCACTTTGGCTTTCCTCTCTGGGAGCTGCCGTGGATGCAGCATCTCCAGGGGGCGCCTTTTTTCAGGGTGATTTTTGGATCTTTATCTGATTTTTGTAGGCTTCCGGTTTCCACTCAGGCTGCGGATGTCTGGATGGCTTTGGCTGACCGGAGAGTCTTCTGGGCGAGTTATAGACGGGACCCGTCTGAGGGTGGCACCTCTGGCATGAGTCCGGGATCTCCCCACCGCCCTCCCCTGGCCCCCCGTCTCCTGGCAGCCCCTCCGCCCCTCTGCATCTAAGGAAGGGTTTCTCAGCCGGGCCGCTCGGAGCTGCGCGGACTTCTGGCCGGCCACACCTTGAGGCCGCCAAGGCCGGGGAAGAGCGACGGCAGACTCTTCCTCAAGACCACTCGACCCCCGGTCTCACGGCGGCGCTTCTGCGTTTCCTCCGCAGGCGGAGAGGATGCCCGTCCGGCCTGGCCTCCTGCTGCTGCTGCTGGCCTTCTCGGTGCCGGCCCCGCCGGGGAGCGCCGCCGGGGAGCGCCTGGCCCCGTGCCAGTGCTTCGGCGGCGCCACCGTCTTCTGCTCGGGGCGGAACGTTTCGGGCGTCCCGGAGGAGCTGCCCCCCGAGGCCAGCCAGCTGCTCTTCGTGGACGCCTCGCTGAGCGTCCTGCCCTGCGGCGCCTTCGCCCCGCGCACCAACGGCAGCAGCGCCCTGCGCAAGCTGGCCTTCCTGGGCTGCCCCCTCCGGACGCTCCCGGGCTGCGCCTGGGTGGGGCTGCCCCGGCTGCGGGAGCTGGACGTCGCCCTGGCCCGGCTGGCCGGCCTCCCCCGCGGGGCCCTGCGCGGCTTGGGCGGCCTGAGCAAGCTGGCCGTGCGCTTCAGCCAGCTGGAAGCCCTGGAGGAGGGGCTCTTCGACGGCACCCCGGCGCTGGAGGCGCTGCACCTGCAGGGGAACCGGCTGGCCGCGCTGCCCCCGCGCCTCTTCCGCCCGCTGCCCGCCCTGCAGTCCCTCTCGCTGGCTCAGAACCGGCTGGCCCAGCTGCCCGCCGACTCCTTCCGGGCGCTGGTGGGCCTCCGCGAGCTGCGCCTGAGCGACAACCTGCTGGAGCGCCTCCCGCCGCGGCTCCTCCGGCCGCTGCAGGCGCTGCGCGAGCTCTTCCTGGACGGGAACCGGCTGGCCGAGCTGCCGCGGGGGCTCTTCGCGGGGCTGGCGCGGCTGCGGCGGCTGCACCTGCAGCACAACGCGCTGGCCCGCCTGGAGCCGCCGGGCCTCTTCGCGGGGCTGCCCGGCCTGGCCTTCCTGCTCCTGCAGGGCAACCGGCTGGCGGCGCTGCCCGCGGGGCTCTTCCAGGGGACGCCCCGCCTGGTGGAGCTCTCGCTGGCCCGCAACCGGCTCCGGGAGCTGCCCGAGGGGCTCTTCGGCGACCTCCCCGAGCTCTCCGTCCTCAGCCTCGCCCACAACCAGCTCGGCCGCGTGGCTGCCGGCACCTTCCGGGGCTTGGCCGGGCTGGGCCGGCTGCAGCTCCGCAACAACTGCCTCTCCGCCCTCCCCGGGGCGGCCTTCGCCAACCTCAGCAGCCTGGAGGCCCTGGACCTGGCCCACAACCGGCTGGAGAGCCTGCCCGAGGGCCTCTTCGACGCCAACGAGATCCTGGCCAGCCTGGCGCTGGAGGGCAACCCCTGGCGCTGCGACTGCCGCCTGGCCCCCCTGGCCGACTGGCTGAGCACCATGGAGCAGCCGCTCGCCGCCCGGGTCCTCTGCCGGACTCCCGCCCCCTTGGAGGGCAGGGCTCTGCTGGCTGCGAGGGAGGAGGAGCTCCTTTGCCCCTGCCAGCCTGGCAGCGCCCGTTGCCGCGGGGAAGCTCCGGGGCCCCCGGAAGAGACGGGCGCCCTGGACCGGGAGGCTTAGAGGCTGCCGGCATCATTCGGGGCAGGCCTTCCTGCAGCCCCCGGGGGCCCCCTGGGGAGAGGAAGGCCAGGAGGGGGACGGGACGGGGATGAAGCCCCTCTGCTGGCCTTTCACGGGACAGCCGGACACGTTCTGACAACGCCCCCCCCCCTGAGCTGGCATCTCCCACCAGGCAGCGCCCTTCCCAAGTGCGGCGAGATGCAAGTCCGGGAGCCCTGACGTTGCTCGTCCGGGTGGCTCCCCATCCTGGCCCAGCTCCTGCTACAGAGGCAGCCTCGCCCCTCCCCCCCCCCCCCCCCCCCCCCCCCCCCCCCCCCCCCCCCCCCCCGTCAGGCCCAGGTCTTGGCAGCTCCTGTCAAAGAGCAGATCGCTGGATCCCACGGTTTCTGTGCCGCCCCCCACCGCTAGGATTCTCCTCCCTCATCATCGGTTAGCGAAGAGCCTTGGGGCTCCTGTGCCCCTTTCTGCAAGAACACAACCCCCCCAAAAATGTTTGCCCCATTTCTTTTGGGACAGCTCTGAAGACCTTTGGACTCTCGCTAGGCTTGATGTTGCTAGGTCTTGCTGTAAATATGTTTTCCCCCACCCTCCTTCCATTTACATTTCTTTTTGAGTTTTGCAGACTTCACACATATTTATAAGTTGCTATTATTATTACTGGCATTATGATGTTTCAGGACTTTCAAATTTGTATGATTGTTGTGTACATTTTGCAGAGGCTGGGTGAAACTCAGCTGAGTGTGAATCAAACCAAAGTTCACGTAACGTGTTTTGCCTAAATCAATAAATCACTATAGTCAGTTATTACTTGAGCAGTTTTATTTCTCCTTCCTTCTCTCTTAATCTCCTGCCTCTCCCCCTCCCTCCCATAATCCACAGCTCTCCGCCCTCCTATCCCGCTCAGACTGGCTGGGGGGCTTGCAGGGGGCTTGCAGGGGGCGGTGGGTGCAGGTGGACCTTGCCTTGTGTCCCACGGGGGGGGGGATGCAGAGGTGGCCTTTCCCACAGCGCTAGTCCTGGTCACTCGTTCCCCCCAAAGAGCGGCTCCCTCCAATTTGGCCCCACTTGGGTGCTGAGGTCACCCGACGAGGAACCCCCCTAAAGTTGCCAGAAGAAGGAGCCTCTGCTCCTGCAGGCACCAGCTTCTGGAGTTGGGGGGGTGGGGTGGAGGGAGTGTGCAGGGATCCTGGCCCTGCTTCTGGGGAGATGGGGGCTCCCTCAGCCAGGGGGGGTTCCTTCTCTTCCTTCCGCTCAGCCTCGGCAGCACCAGGGTCCTGCCCGCTCAGGGGGGCTTTGACTGCTCTCCGCACTGTGGAGAGCGGGTGCCGAGGGAGGGGCAGCGGAGCCCCGATGTGCCCCTTGGGCAGAAGAGAGCAGAGGCGCCAGCAGTGACTCCTGGGGCTGCCAAGGGCCTCTCACAGCTTATCAGACCACGGCAGGGAGCGGAAGGTGCCTCGGGTGGCACCCAGATCCCCTCCACCCTTCCCAGACGTCTCCCGGGAGATAAGGGCCACCTATCCCTCCGCAGCCCATCTGGCTCAGGGGCAGATTCTCCAGCGAGGTGAGTGGCGCGATTCTCAGGGCCTCCTGCTTCTCCCGGGCCTGGAAAGCCAGCAAGGAGTTCCAGGGGCTGCTGAGCCAACAGGTGGGTCCCCTTAGCCGCCACATCGGAGAGCTGTGGGGAGGCCCTAGAGGGAAGGGTGGGCAGCCCGTGTCGCCTTTGCAGGGCCAGACTCTCCCTTCTGGCCTGGGGGTGGCTGCAGCAGCAGAGAGCAAGAGGGAGGACCGGGGGGGGGGGCCCTGGGCACATGAGAGTGGCTGACTTGCTGGCCTTCACACAGGAAGGAGGCGCATACAAGGGCCCCTCTGGGCAAACGCATTGAGCAACGGCTTGCAAGAATTAAAGCAGCAGGTGGAGAGTCTGTCAGGAGGGTCGAACCGTTGAGTCAGCCGAGTCTGAGACATTGCAGAGGGTGCTGGCAGGTGCAGAGGTTACCCTGAAAAAGGCTCAGGGCTCTTGGTCTCTTCCAGCATGTGGCTCAGGACCCCCATCCTGGTCCTCCTCCTCCTCCTCTTTAGGGTCGGCCGAGGGGACCAGGATTGCAGTGGCGCTCCGAACGAGAGCTGCCCCCATCAAGACATCCAGAGGGGCAGAGGCATCACAGAGATCCCCAAGTCGGTTTCTCCCGTTGTCACTGAAATGTACTTTATTGAGACCAGCATTGGGGAAATCAGGCGGGGGGCCTTCGAAAACATGTCTAACCTGGTGAAGATTGAATTCATAAACAGCAAGGTTGAAAGAGTTGAAGCAGGAGCTTTTGATAACTTGGAGAAATTGGTGGATTTGGAAATCACGGGGGCCGTGTTAGAGGATCTCCCCGTGGGCACCTTCCGGTCCCTGAATCACCTGCGGAGAGTGAACCTGAGGGACTCCCAGGTGAGAAGGATCGAAAAAGGGCTGTTTGATGGTCTTGGGGGTTTGGAAGAGGCTTATCTGCACCGGAACGAAATTGCCTCTCTCCCTGACGGAGTCTTTGACGGGCTCCCCAAACTCTCCTTGTTACATCTGGGGCGGAACCAGATCTCCAACGTCTCTCCGGACCTCTTCAAGCAACTGACCCAGCTGAAGACTCTCCGGCTGCAGAACAACCAGATCGGGAGTCTGGCGGAGGGGACCCTGGACAGCCTGCAGGATCTGGTGGAGCTCAATCTGGAAANGAAGTTCTCCCAGATGAGATCTTCCGTGGATTGAGAAACGTGAAGCAGCTGAAGATGGCCTCCAACCACCTGAAGGCCCTCCCGCCTTTGGGGCCCATGGGGCTGCTCAAGGAGCTGGACCTCAGCAGGAACAAGATCTCCTCCCTGGAGAATTTGGAAGCCGCTTCCCTCCCGTCCCTGACCACGCTCAAGCTTCAAGAGAACCTTCTGGAGACCATCCCCACGGGCCACTTCGACCCCCTGGGGAAGCTCACGGCCCTGCATCTTGGGGACAACCCGTGGAGGTGTGACTGCCACCTCCTCTATCTTCATCAGTGGATACACAATAACGCCAAAATAATAAAGGACGCCAGGAAGATCATCTGTAGGAGCCCCGGAGACCTGGCTGGGAAAGCAGTGAGCTCACTGTCAGAAGACCAGCTGCTCTGTTTAACAACAACCGCACCCATTGTAACCACCTTCAAAGCCGCCCCTGCTTCTCCATCTGCCACCCCCACCAGGGGAAGCACAGCAGGTGCCTCAACTCGGTCCACCACGCTGCCAGAGACCAGCCCACCATCTCAGACCTCGGCCCCGGCTCCTCAAACCCATCCTGCTAAGAGCACACAAATCACGAGTACCAGCAGGACGTGGCCCACAACTGCCCCCACGAGCACCCAGCCCCCACCCCCCAGCTCCTCCCTGGCCCCCACCCAGGGTTCCACCTCTGCCAGGACAAGTCCTGACATCACAACCCTTCAAGCCACAACTTCCACGAGTTCTCTAACCACAACTGTCTCTGAGATTTCTTCCACAGCCCGTGAAATGACGTCCACAGATATTCCAGCCAAAACCACAGAAGCCACAACTGTCCCTGAATTGCCAGTCACAACTTCCATGAGTTCTCTAACCACAACCGAAGATGCTACAACTGAGATTTCTTCCACAGCCCATGAAATGACATCCACAGATACTCCAGCCATAACCATGGAAGCCACAACTGTCCCTGAATTGCCTTCCACAACCCTTCAAGACACAACTTCCATGAGTTCTCTAACCACAACCGAAGATGCCACAACTGTCTCTGAGATTTCTTCCACAACTCATGAAACGATGTCCACAAATACTCCAGCCACAACCACAGAAGCCACAACTGTCCCTGAATTGCCAGTCACAACTTCCATGAGTTCTCTAACCACAACCGAAGATGCTACAACTGAGATTTCTTCCACAGCCCATGAAATGACATCCACAGATACTCCAGCCATAACCATGGAAGCCACACCTGTCCCTGAATTGCCTTCAACAACCCTTCAAGACACAACTTCCATGAGTCCTCTAACCACAACCAAAGATGCCACAACTGAGATTTTTTCCACAGCCCATGAAATGACATCCACAGATACTCCAGCCACAACCACGGAAGCCACTGCACCCTGGGGCATGCCCACCAAGGCACCCCCCACGGCTCTGACCAACGTCAGCTCAGCAACACTCTATGAACAGTTTACAGTCCCCAAGAGATCCACAGAAAGCCAGGATCCACCCACCCACCCTCCTGTGATCACCACGTCATCCGTCTGTAGCTCCAGACCTCCGGCTCCAGGCCCGCTGACCAGGCAAGCCTTGACAGTGCCCAGAACCACAGCCCCCGGGGCGACGCTGGCACAGACACCCGTTGCAGGCTCAGCCCTGGCACTGCCATCTGCAGCAGATCAGCCCTTTTGCCCTTCCTCCTCCCTCCCCCCTTTGCCCCAGAGTGTTGGCAGCCCCCTTTCCCCCAGCCGGCCTGCCCTTCCGCCCCAGCAGCACCAGGCCTGGGGTCTCCTGCTGAGCTCCGACTACCGGTATTGCCCAGTGTTCCTCCTGCTGTATCTCTCCATGCTCTCCGTGAGCATCTTCTGCGCGGCCATCTTGGGGCGCCTGGCATACGCCCTCCACAAAGCCACGGAGCCGGTCCAGCTGCCTTGCAGGCCAGTAAGGCTGGTGCACGTCAAGGCCAGGCAAGGGAGGAAGTGAAGTCCTGGGGCAGAGAGGGAGCCCTGCCGTCTCTCCCACAGGAGCCCCTGCCCTGTGACACGCCCGCCCGCTGAGACCCAGCAAAGAGTGCCCTGGGCTGGGCTGCTTCTTGCTAACACTGCCACCTCCCGGACCCCAAGGGAGAGGGCAGAGGGGGAGACCGAGTCCACCAGCTGTAGACCTACCTGGCACAGGGGCTTTGTTATCCTCTCCACCATGTGGTGGGGCTATGATAATGCTGTCAGAGCCCATACCTATACCTATAGGGTCCCTTATCCTTATCC